AATGTTACATAGTTTACTGGGCAAATTTACATATGAGCTGGAAAAACAGCTCAGTGGGCTTGTGCACCACCAGCAAATGTAAATTTGCCCAGTAAACTATGTAACATTTTTATTGTTTTTAGTTTTTCTACTTCCTTATATGTCCTGGAAAAACAGGAAACATGTTTTTTCCTATTATAAATTGTATTTATTTACTTTGTTCTTGGCGCACCCTGTAATTGTTGTTTCCTGTTTTTAAATACAGTGCTAGCAAATTAAATTCTCTGGACTTTCGGCCTGGATTGTCAGACAGGTCCCTCAAATTGCAATCAATAAAATTACTTAATTATGTAAAAATGTTTCATAAATACACACGTAGAATTTAAATATATATGCATATTTACATATTTAAAGTCTACGTGTATATTTATGAAATTATTTATGTAATTTTGTATATGGATATATATATATAATTTTTATTATTTTGATTTATTTATATATATACATAAATGTATATATAATTTCATTCTAAGTGTATTTTGATATATATATATATATATATATATATATATAAATATCAGCATACACTTAGAATAAAATTTCATATATATATATATATTTTTTTTTATTATTATATTTTTTACATTTTTTTATTTATTTTAATTTACTTATTATTTGTATTTTATAATAATATATATACATACAATATATATAGTTATTATATATATATATATATATATATATATATTATGAGTGTAATTTAATATCTATATATTCATATATAAAAATACACTTAGTATGACATAATATATATGAGATATATAGACATATATAATTATATTTTTATTAGCATTAACATTTTTTTTATTTTACACATGCAGGGAGACTGCCTGGCAGTCCCCCTGCAGGCAGACACTTGGACACCTATTGTGATCATGTGACTGCTCTGTTGAGCAACCACGTGGCCGCAGGGTTCTAATTTACCACGGGGAGACTGCCTGGGCTACTAGTTTCAGTATAATTTCTGGAACAGAGTCCATTTAGATTAGCTTAATATTTTTGTTGAGTTCTAAAGGAAATCGCAATCTTGATACTTTTAACAAATAATAACATATAGAAATTCCACTACTGTTTGTAATTAAAAGAAGAGCTACCATTTCTGTCCAGGTGAAAGGTTTACACAATATATATCTGAATTAACTTATATTTACACTTATAGCTTCGAAATTATATTCTACATTTAAGAAGCTTCACACTTTCATCACCAGTCTCCTGAAATAACACTCAAATAAATACAATTTCTTCTTACATTTTATGTCCCTAAAACCAGGTTATATAAATATTAAAATAGCCCACAATATAATAAAATTTACTTTTATGTGATCTTTTGAAAAATGTCCAAGTGGCTCACGGTTTTGCTCTCCATGCCAAGATACTGCAACTGTTGCACAATTAAACATTATTTTATATGTTTTTCTATAATAATACAAGTGTAGTCTAAAATTCCTTTCCATGCCTATATTTGTAATATGAGTGCATAGAGTCCTAAAAAATACACATTTTGAAAATTGTATAAAAGTAGTGTGACAGTTTAAAACATATTTTTTTCCACTTTCTGTTTTTCCTAACATTTAAAGTCAGTTATGACACAATGTAAAATGCCTTTTATTATAAGTAAATTATAGGTAAATGTCATGCGGTATTGTTGTTTAGCCTTTTATTGGTATAAGAAACATCGGATTTCAAAAGAAGCAGTTAATGAGAAAAAAGACAGAAAGAAGAAAAGTACCAAGCATATTGGAAATCGGTTTGTATTCTGAATGGAGTTACAATGTTTTTAGAGAATTAAAATATAATTGGAATATAGACAGTTTATTTGCTTATCTTTTAGAGAATGAGTGACTAGAAGAGGAAGGGTATAAATATTCAATTGGCAATATATTTAGAAGCCTAACTATGGAGTTAGAAGAAGAAGGGATAGAAAAAAAAGGGGAGATTTATCAAGGCAAAATATGTGCTAAATAACAATTCTGCCTTCCTTCCCCTTCCTTTCTTCCTCAGCAGATACTGATATCTTGGTAATCATCCCTAAATCTCTCTGGATTTTTGGCCATTTCGATTAACAAAATTGAATGAAGGCCTTTCTTAATTTCTAATGTTGCTTTCACATTGCAGAGGAAAGCAATTATTTGCCTGGGTTGACATCTACCAATCTTTATCTATCTAGAATGATTAATTATTATAATTATGATCACTTTGTCAGGGATTCTCTGCAGTTTTAAACAGTAACCCTATCTTGAACTGTGTCTAGATAGTTCAGTTGTTTTTAACTATCAGCTTCTTTAATCAGCATGGTTATAAACCTGGTTGCTATTAGCCAGTCCCTTTTGTAACTCAGTGGAGGCTATTTAAGCAGCAAGTCTCAGTACCTCCTTACCTTTCTATTGTTTCCACTTTTCAAGAGCATGTCCTCTGATTTCTGTTTTTTACCTGATTCAGATGTCTTCCATTCTGGTTCCTAACTTTAGGCTCTGATCCTGATTACTTATGAACTATTTAAAAAAAAATGATATTTACTAATAATAAACTTGTTTTGTATCTTCTGTTTTATATCTGTCTGGTTCTTGGCCCCTAACACAGTTGTAGCATTATATGATCAATGTAGAGTTAACATAGTCTGTAGTACTTTATTGTTACATAGTGTGGCTATTTAACAACAGGTAATTATATAGACATATACAAGTAATCTACGAGAAAGTGGCAAATGAGCAAAGTAGGAAGAACAGCGTGTCAGAGTGGATTTATAGATATGATACCTGAGACTAGGAAAAGTCACATATAAGTGTGTATATATATATATATATATATATATATATATATATAAAGTAATGTATTCAAAAAAATTTATTTTTACACACTAAATTAGAGGGGAAAAAAAAATCTACTTTTCACGCAAATAATTGAAATATCAGAGTCTGAGAGTTTTTCAAAAAGCTTGTATGAGCAGTATTAAAAAGGTAAAGTCTATGATAAAAAAAGAATAATGTAATATAACTAGTAATGAGAAAAAAAGCAAAGAAGAATTTACAAAGGAGTTTAACCCCTTAAGGACCGAGGATGGTTCAGGACCGTCATCAGCATTTTCCCATTGCCGACCGCTGACGGTCCTGAAACGTCCTAACGGTTCTAGTTACTTACCTGATCGCCGTCGTTCCCCGGGCGGTGATCAGCGTTGCTCCCGTTGTGGGGAGACTGCCTGCAGCCCAGACAGTCTCCCCACACTTGATTAGGACCCCTGTGAAAGATCAGTATATAATAGACTGATCATAAACTTATAAGGCTTTATTAAGTTTATGATCAGTCTATTATATACTGATCTTTCATTTCTATGTATATTCTCTCCCCTGATACCTATATATCTGGCTGACGAATGGCACATATTGACTACTCCTATTCCTAAGACTCTTAATATAAACGGAAGAGTTCTATATATAGGGATTTCTGCATATAGGGGGAATCTTGTGACCCTTGAGTGGTCCTGATTTGAGAGTTTCTTTACCCCTACTTGCATGTGTAGCAGACGGCCTCAGTGAATGATGTTTAGTTATAGAGACCACTGAGGGACCTGACACTCAGATTTTTTTTTTTTTTATAATTCTTTATTTTAACATTGACATAGCATACAGCTGGAAAACAATACTTAGGCTTGTGCAAAAGCCGGGTTGCATGAGGTACAATGAAATTGTATGGGTACAGAAAGAAGATGGTTATTTGGTTAAAGGTACATTCGTTTCTTGATGTGCCCGTCATCTTGATCAATTATGTTTTTCATACATCTATTGTCTGTCAATGGTCTTTGTCATATGGTTGTCTATCTTCGTCGTTATGTGGTCGTGTGATCCTGATATGGGAGACACCTTGTTGGGTGGTGCCCCGAGAAGTTAGGGTGGCTCTGGGTCTCTCGTATCTAGTCAGGTGGGTTGTGGATTGTAGTCTAGGTTATGTGTTATTTATGGACGGTCATCTCGTCCCTTCAGTAGTAGCTTGGTGTCTGTGTGGCGTTGATGGATGATGTCCCTTGGTTATAAGAGGCTTGGTGTTATGGGGTGGTTTTGTTGCGCTTATTTTATAGCTGCTGACCCGTACTCGGTGCGTTGGGGGCGTGTGGTATCTCTGCTTTTGTCCCCTTGTGTTGTGAGGGCATCTTCGTCTAATGTTGCTAGTTTTGCCTTGCGTTCTAAGGGGTGGATTTGTCAAGGGGAAGGGGTGGTGGGGGGGGGGTGTTTGTCCTAGGCATTTCTGTTTTGTTGTTGCAGTTCGCCTCCTCAGAGTCAGCTGTCTGCCTTTGTTTTACTGTCAGGGTATAATGGGGGTAGGGTAGGTGTGCAGCAGTGGTGGGGTGTCTGTTTGGGGTGTGGGGTTGTGGGAGAAGGGGGTGGCGCACCGCAGTATTGTGTCAAACATGGGTGGAGGGTTCTGCAAGCCATGGATCCCATATTTTGTCACAATGCGTTGTGGTTTCGTGGATGAGGGCCGACATTCTATCCATTGTCCTGGCTTCGGTCATTTTGCGTTTTATGTCTGTTAGTGTTGGGGTCGTGGCTGCTCCCCAGTGGGCAGCTATAGCTCGTCTGGTGGCTAGGGCTAGTTTGGCTAGGAGTTTGTTGTGGGCACGAGGTGTGTCTGGTAGGGGCTTGGATAGTAGCCAAAGCCAAGGGTCTATAGGGATGGTGTCGTGTAGGACTAGTGATGCAAGCGTTGCTATGTTCTTCCAGATTTGTGTTATAAGAGGGCATTCCCACCAAAGGTGGTAGTATGTCCCCTGTTGGCCACATCCCTTCCAGCATCTGTCTGAGGTGGATAGTCCCATCTGTTTGAGTTTTAGCGGTGTAATGTACCATCGCATGAGGGTCTTGTAGGCCTGTTCTTTGTGTGTGACGCATATAGTTATGGTCGCTGTGGCCTCCCAGATGGCTGCCCAGTCTGAGGGGTCGGTGGGGGGGCCCATGTCTCGTTCCCACGCTGTGATGTAGTTGAGTGGCTGTTTTTTTGTCGCTGTGAGTAGCCACGTATATGTGGTGGAGATTTGGCTCTTCCGTATTGGAGTGTGAATGCAAGATTTTTCAAAAGGGGTCAGGGGGGTACGTCCTGCTTGTTTGTATGTGGTTGTCTCGAGAAAGTTTTTTATCTGGATGTATCTAAAATAGTCGCGTGTGGTAAATGACACTGTTTGGGGCAGTTCCGTAAAAGGGATTATTTGTTGGTCCTTATAGAACCGGTACACTCTGTGGAGGTTGTTGTCCTCGTAGTGGGCAAAGTCTCGCGGGGTCATTCCCGGTATGAAGTGTTCATTTCTTAGAATGGGTGCCAGGGGCGATGGGTCTGATGTGAGTGCATATTGCAGGGAGAGTTTATTCCATATAGCTATGGAGGTGGTGAGCGCTGGGGTGGTCTGCGGGACCTTCGGGCGTGCTTGCCGAGGTAGCCATATGTATAGAGAGGGGAAGTCCGCGTGGAAGTAGTGTAGGAAATGGGGTAGGCCTAGTCCCCCGGCCCTTGTCGGGAGGTAGAGGGTGTCTCGCCTGATTCTGGCGCGTTTGTTCGCCCAGATGAAGTGGTCTATTTGTGTTTGTAGGCTTTTGAAGTCTTTGATTGAGACTTGGACTGGTAGTGTTTGGTATAGGTACAGGAATCTCGGTAGGAGATTCATTTTTATGCAGGCCACTCTCCCCAGCCAGGAGATGGAGTAAGCTTCCCATGTCTTGAGGTCTGCAGCTGCTTTTTGTAGTAGGGGGGTGTAGTTTAGGTGATAGGTTTGGGTGACATCTGCCGGAAGGTTGACCCCGAGGTAGTGTATATGTGATGGTGGGCCAGCTCGCTTGCTTGGATCTGGACTGGCAGGGCCTCTGTTTTGTCTAGGTTGAGGTGGTAGCCTGAGACTTTAGAGTATTCGTCCAGGGCATGGAGTAGTGGTGGGAGAGAATGCGTTGGGTCAGTGAGAGTTAAGAGGAGATCATCGGCATATCCCGCTACCTTGTATTCCTCTCCTCTAACCTGAATGCCCGTGATTGCGGGGTCAAGCCTTAGGGCTTGGAGGAGGGGTTCCAGTTAGAAGGCGAACAGTAGTGG